ATAAAAATCATTGAAATTTGTTACGAGATTTGCATAAATTCTTAATAAAAATATTATCTTAGGATATTTTTCGTAAATTTTATCTAAATCTTTGATCAAAATTCTTGCCTTTATCATGGATCTGGGTCAAAGTTTTAATCGTTTTCAATTACTTTTTTTCGTTTATTCATGATTTCTCTTCGGTAAATCGAGGTTATTTTATAATGTAGAATTGTATTTTTGTATTTTAGAGTTAGTAGAATGAATATACATAGAAATATATATAAATATCCTGAAGTATTTATGCTCAACTGGATGATCAAGGGGTTGTTTTTGTTTCTCTTTTCCTTTGGAAAAAGTCGGTAAAGATATTAGTTCTTTATGTCTCGAACTTATTGACTCAAAAGTTTGGGAATATGGTTGGAATAAAGTTAAGCCAAATATCCTAGCTGGACATAAACTTTCGTTTATATCTGAGACGTTGATGCATTATCGATCTGATGTCAATCAAAGGAAAACATCGAGGTATAAGGCTCTAAAGAAAATTCAAGAGGGAATTTTTTTAAAAAATAACATTACATTTTAAAAAATATGAGATTTAATATTTTTAGCTTTAATAAACAAAGAGGAAAAAATTTTCATTTTAACATAAATTCTCTCGATTCTAAAGGCGAATTAATGTTTTAAAAATGGCAAAACTGTGTAAATATCAAAACAACGTAATCTGGAAATTCAAAATCAATAAATTTTATTTAAAATCTACTTTCAATCCAAAATAAAAGCAAATTATCCTGTTTAATTTTCTCTTTTTCTTTCTCAACGTTACTTTAAATAATTTTTAATATTCTCAAAACAAATTCTTTATCTTTAAAATCATTCATTTTCTAATATTCTCTCGCCTAAACTTGCTATACTTTAAAATTAATTTTTCCGTTTTGTTTCATTTACTTTTACATTTTTAAAAAAATATAGTTTATAGGTGTGACATTAAATATCCAATATCATGAGAAAGGCTAATAGAAATCGGTCGGATTGAGACTGTCAACTATTCTGCTAATTGAGCTCAGATTACAGCTTAAGTTCTGCACCAACAACGATTATTCGCTAATACCAGACAGTGCAATGTTTCGCTAAAGGAACAACGTTAAACCACGCTCTTTCTCTCTGGACAGCGGTCAATGAATGGTTTGAAGAAGAAAAAACCGCTGTACCAGCTCAATAAATAGATACTTCACTTCACAGAATTGTTCTAAACTTCCTTGGCTATATATTACACCGAATTCAACAATTCTTCACTTCGGCAATTATCTTGAAAATAAATGCAAATTGTATCTTCTCATATAAACCTTACTAAATGAACAATTATAAGTTAATGATACATATTCCAAATTGCAATTATCCTGATAAATTATATATCAAGTTTTGAGCCATATAAATATGCTAAATCGTCATTATCTCCTTTAACTAGACGATTATATAACCTTATAAATATGCTAAATACGATATACAAATTATATATATATATATTTTTAAGTAATTATAATTGTTAATCTAATAAAAAAGATTGCCAAAATAAATCGAATCCTTTATCCTTATGCAAAATTTTAATGGCTAATTTATTATTCCGAGAGAGAGCTTACATTTTCTCTTGAATCGACTCTCTCATCCATTGATCCTAAGCAATAAATTATCCAGGATGCATCGATGCAACAAATTAATTATCTCAACGTTTTGCATCACGATCCTTAAACGCCACCTCTTTTTAAAAAAATGCATAAAAACGTGATTCTAAATACAAAAAAACTATCCTGATCCTTACATAATAGATCTACCCGAGCAATAAATTATTCTGATTCTCCAATCAATCCTGAATATCGATTTTTACGTCTTCGGCTTTGGAAGACCTCAAGATAAAGAGAATAAAAAAATAAAATAAAAAACAACTTTAAATCAGCTTTATATATTCTGAAGCTGATGAATTATACTTATCCGTAGAATTTTTTTTCTATATATATATATAATTGACCAGTGTTAATTTGTAAGATAATTAAGTTGTAGCACCCAGATTAAATCTACAGTGGAGCTAATTGAAGAGACTGATTCAGTTTAAGGGAGAAGTACACCCCCCAATGACTAACTGTGAGTAACCCAGTTACAGTGCAGTGTCCAGTCGATGCTACTTCATTACGAAATGTTTTAAATAAGTGCTTCACTTTATGATTTACATTATTCGCTTATTACTAATCACATTAAATGTAATTATTGTCATAAGGACTATTTAACTCTAGCAAAATACATTGACTCTGTTCCATTTAATTCTTTTTTCCTTCTTCCTCATACTCAACTTCAGAATTATTTGTTAAATTTTTAATTTTATTTAACAAATATTTTCAAATATAAATTGATCTTTAAAATATATTTATTTTTTGCAATTAAAATTTGAAATTTAATAATGTATTTTTAAAATAATTTTTTATAATTATTTTTGTCAATTTTAGAATTTTTAGATTTTAATTATTAAAATTATTATTTAGTTATATTTATAATTTTTATAATTAATGTGATTTTTATTTGATACTTTTGCTTAATGATAAATAATATTATATTTCATTTAACTATTGGAGCTATAAAGTAATGCTTAAATGAATTTTAAATTATTCTATAATATTATTATTTAATAATAATTTTTTATGATATTAATATTGTAAAATTTCTTATAAAATCTTAATATTTTATAAGAATATAACAAGAACAACATATTTAGAGAACAAAGAAACGTAAACAAACAGCCAGACTTTTTATTGTTCAATTTAAAACAATATTTAAGGCCTAAAGGCATCATAGTATCATATAAACAGTAAAAATTAAATTCCTCTAGAACAATATTCGGAGCTAAAGACATATTATTCTCTTTGATATAGTGATAATGCATAGGATTTTTAGTTATTTTACAATTTTATCTTTTAATTTTTAATTTATAACCACATTTAAAATCTTATAGTAGGTCTTAAAATGGCTAAAAATTCATAAATTTGTCTTTAGCCTGAATAAAACTCTCGACACTTGCTTGTAGAAAATATGAAAATCAATCAGATCCTATGCTTATATACACTTTAATCGTTTAAATATATATTATTATTAAATTTATATAAATGTTGGTGTTTAGTATAAATTTGAATGATTTTTTTTCTTTCAGGCTTACATTTTAGATCAATATCAAGTGAATTTTCCAAAAACTTCACGTTTTATTTCGATAACGACACCTGCAACAAAATCAAAACATAGCTCGATCTTTAAATAGCAAAATATAATATTTAATTTAAAAAATAAATAAACAAGTAAATATACTTTATGAGAAAAGCGAAAAAATTATATTTAATTCCATTTTATCCAATTTCCAGTCAATAAATTATTCAATGTCTTTAAAAAACTTAAATAAAATAACTTTTATTAAAGAAATAAAAATCCGATTTATGTTTAAAATTAAAATTTAAAATACGTAATTTATAAAATATTTGATTACTTTATTTTTAAATTAAAAAAAAATAAAATAAAACTGAAAATGGATTGAGATGAAAAATACAATTCGAAGGGAAGTTAATATAATTTTTTGAATTTTATTATTATTTTTTAGGGACTAATAGAAAGAAAAATGTACATATAATTTGTAAGGAAAAATTTTAGTTAAAATATATTCAAAATCTTACATTTTATTTCGAATATCTAATCATTAAATTAAAGTTCTAAAGGAATGTAGAAGGATACGTGTTCCTATCGTTGTTAATGAGTCATCCAATTATTACCAAGATTTGAATTCATCATCATTAAAACGAAAGAATAATTATTGTCCATTAGATAAAAGAGAGCTACAAATGATTCAGCGTATTAAGAACAATTTTAACTTTTACTATTTTAGAATTAAGCTTAGAGATGCCCGGGATGCGGGAGAATGACGTCACGGAGGGGGTAGAGCAAATTGTTCTTATGCCAGATGTTGATTTAGGAATGCTCGATACTGATAACGTTCGATGATACTGTTCTCTATCTGCTAATTAATCGAGTCTGACAATGCTAATACTATTCATTAACTAGGTTATTATTAAATGATTATCGTTAATTAAGTTAGTCTGATATTGTTAATGTAGGCTCTTTTCGCCGCCAATATCTGATACTGTTGCTTTGGAGGTAAAGTTATTAATGCATATTCCACTAGCTAATATCTGATACTGATGGAGCGACTTTAATTGGTCTTAACACTTTTGACCCAGACACCCGATAATGTTAACACATAGCGCTATTTGTTAAGTACATGTTGCCGATATTACTCTCTAACTAACACTAATGCCGTTAACAAACTAGTTCGGACACCTTTGGCTAATTGCCACGCCACCCAATCATCGAACTGATACTGATGCTAGAAAATTCTGATAGAACGAGCCGCAGCCCTATATAGATAATCAGCATCAATCATGACACCTAAAAGCAGTAGTAAACAAATGCCAAAGTTGAGGTCGACCCCATTAATATCTATCTTAATTATCCTCGACAAAACAAGAATATTAACCGCATATTGATCAGCAGCGCATCAAATGATACTGACACTAAGTGTAAACGAGAGTGGAGACAAATTTTAGCTTTTAAAAAATGAACCTTTTGTTCACAGTTAGCAAAATGACGTCACTATCCGGGGGGAGAAGCAGGGAGTTTATTGTACAATGGGATCAAGCAAAGGGAAATCCGGGAGTATGGGGAAATGGCTAATTTCCATAATCCTACCGTAAATTTTAAGCCTTTCCCCACTAAGAAGAGAAAAAAAAATCTTATTCATCACAACGCCAGTTTAGGTGATTCAGATGGGATACGATTTGTCAATGTTTGCACTGTTTTTACTTTAGTATGACTAATCTAATCACAAGTATACAGTAACGCTTCGTCAAAATTGTTGAAGGAGTTTTACCGCTAGCGTACAGTGCATGCGCAGTATTGGCGATTCCTGCGTGTCCCACAGCATGGTACACAGATAGACAGAGCTTGGAAACACGACGAGGTTATTGCTGAGAGAAGCTCGGGAGTAGAGAGTCGGTCTAGTTCCCAAGCCGATACTTGTGCCCGGATTGCGTATAGTGATGTCTGTACATCCCTGAGGTCAAGATCGCAGAAATGGTCCCGCAGCGACGACATCTTTCCACAACTATATACCTTCTACTCGGCTGTAGTGCAGGTATGCACCGTTTTATACATTCATTTTTAGTTTTTTAAAAATCTTTTTAAATAACTTTACACTGCAGATATAGAGTTATCAAACGTTGAGAAGGTAGCATATTTTTAAAAAAATATTACTTCTCTAACACGAACAAGGAGATATACACGTATTTAAGAGGAGGGGGAGAAATTCTTTTGATTGATGAAGGGTAGATATTGTATATTTTATCTAACGTTGCAGAAACTCAGTTTACGAAACCAAACATTGCTTTTGTAAAGTTTTAAAAGATTTCTGTCGAAACAATTAAGAGTGTCGAGGTATAAGAGTAGTCGATTTTCGGTTAAAGTAAACGTCTACGAGTTGACAAGTGTCTCCAACTGCCAAGACATAACGAATGGACTTTGGTACCTGTTGACAGATCTGAAATCGTCTTGTTCTGTTGGATATATTTATGGTTTGGACTCACGAGACAGCTATCAAGTCAAGACTAATGTGCACGATGCACGACACGCGACACACTCTTCTATCCAAACTTAAGCACTTCTACGAGTTGGGGGATTAGGGATTAGATTGGTTTGGGAGAATCGCTTATTCCGCTAACTGGAGCAAAAGCAAAAAAGCTATGCATTCAAATATCACGATTTATGAAGAATTAAGAAGCCATTTTATCATTTAATATAGCTATTTAATCTTTAATATAGAATAAAGAACGTATAATTGATGATAGCATCGTTTACAGATCGATTGTATCGCTAATAAGATAGATATAGTTACAGATTGATAATGATAATTTGATGCTAATGCAAATAGAGGTTGTTATTCATAACAAGCTTAATTAAATGTAAGTTTCTTTATATTTAGATTACTTTATATAAATATTAATTTCTATAAGTGCTAGTTGGAGTTTTAAAAATGAAATTGGGAATTCATGATAGCGATATGAATGCGTTTAAGATCAGTTACAAAATATCAGAAACTTGTAATGTAGAAAGGCAAGTAAATTCTAAGGGTATACGGATACTAAAGGCGTATAGTATAGTATCGATAGAAAATAGCACATTTGAATACCACAAAAATATTTGGTTAGATCGATGAACCGTTTTATCAAACAGGGGTAGAAAAAGGAGGAGATTCTAACAGGGTGACAAACTTACCTGGAATAGATTCGAAATTCTGCCTGGAGCACGTGTGATTTCTGTTCTCTGTGTCCCGAATTCGTTGCTGAATCACCAGCCCACCCTTCATCTTCTCCCCATCCGAACAGATTCAAGCAAGCTATTCACACTTCTCTCTCTCTCTCTCTCTTGCTCCCTCTCTCTCTCTCTGTATCCAGTTGCTTGCGGGATAAAAATGGATTTGACACTATTGCTTGATTTAATAGTACAGTGTTGGATGGTATGATGGGACTCTTTTTTCATTTTTGGTTTTCTTTCATCGTCACAAAGGTGATTTTCCTTCTATTTGATACGTTTATGGTCATTTGAGATTACTTTATTCAATATAGGCTTGATCCAATCCCCTTATTTTGCGTTTCAATTCTTGGGATAAAGAGTTGAGTTCAACTATCTTTTATTTATGATTTATAAGGATAATGTATGGGAAGGGGAAAACAAAATTAAATAAATGTATGTGGAACATTCGTATAACATAATTATATATATATATATGTATATGCTTATTTTATTCTAGGAAAGGAATATCGTGGTGATATTTAAAGTGCTGTATCTCAGGCCTCCGTTCAATTTACGACTTTCCAAAAGCGTGGAATGTAGCGGGTTTGTTTTCGTTTAGTTGTTAAGTTCTATATCGATTTTGTAAAGCACCTTATAAATTGGGAGGAGGGTATATTTGTGTTACGTTTGGGCGGAGCAGTCGACCGAAAGCTAAGCAAAAATAGAAGTATATATATATTTTTTTCTTTTATTTTAACCGATTTTTCAATAGTAAAATGACGTTGATAATGTTAACGTGTTCACATAATCACTCTTAAAAAATATCGGTTACAACAATGTTTCAGGTTTGAAGAGAAGGTAAAAAAAAACAATTAAAGCAAGAGTAACAAATAAATTCTACAGTAGAGAATGACAACAAAATGAAATTTTTACAGAAATTGCCTAGTAAACCAGACAAAAACATTTCGAAAAACAAATTTGCGAACCTGAATAGGGCGGAAACCAATTTAAGTTCGCAGTTGCTATAGAATTAAATAAAACCGAATTGGAAAAAAGTTATTAGATAGAGCGAACCTGTAGATTTTCAACTCATAAAAAATCGTGTAAAGTTACTAAAAATATAAACATTTTTTATCATTTAATTGTCACAATAAATAAAAATATACAATTTCTAATTTTAGACCGAGGAAACGTTTAATTTATTTAGAAGATAATTACAAATGTTCGCATTATATTCGTTAGGAAAATTTTGAATTCCTAACCCCTTATGCTCATCAAATAAGAAAATTTTGAAAACTTTAATCATTGATTAGTTAGCATTAAAATTTTCCTAGAAATGAAAGGAAAATATTTTGCTGTAATAAGTCTTAAAAGGAGATTCGTTATGTAAATGGATGGCAGAATCACATGATAAGATACAGTGGATCGCTCAGATTTCATGGCAGGGTAATTACCGATGTCATTCATTGTCAGGAAACGCATCATTTCCACAAAGATGACATTTCCTGTCATATTTATTAATTACTGATGGTAAAAGTATTTTTAGTCCAACAAACCTTAACTACTATGAAAGTTATGAAGTGACCATAAACGGGACATTCATCACTTTTTCTATTACATCATGCATAAGTGAATTAGAAGGTTAATAGAAAATTCAAAGTAAATTTACTTCTCGTGGAAGAAACATTTACTTTAGAAATTCTTCAAAGATAAATTCGGAAGTATTTGTTTCCTACCGGAAGATAAAAAGGAAATATTTGAGCTTCTCGAGAATTTCAATTATTTTTTTAATCGATTTAAATAACGTTAGCTCGATATGGGTAATTACAATCTAAAGGTAAGATAAATAGATATAAGCCACATAAGTAAAGAGGAAGGAAACTGATAGGAGAACAAGGAAGATAAGTGGTTGTCCTGGAAATTGCGGTAAATTAGTGGGTAAATACAAGAATTAAGTATGACTAAGAGGTGGCAGTGGGACTAGGAAAAGTAAAGGATAATGAAAATATCGGGCTTAGGGCCGAGAATGAAAACTGGTCGGATAAATCAGTAGGATATACATAAGCTAGGTTGGGTAGATAAGATAATGATTTGTGGAATAGATAGGAGGGTAAAACAGCGCCTGACAGCATGTGTAATGTTGGCAAAATAATCCGGTCGATAAAAAAAGGGAAAAATAATAACATTTTGAAAGTATATATTGTTAAAACGCATATAAAAAGTAATAATGAATAAAAAAAATCATCATAAGTATATGTAATGGCGAATATACAGAAAACGGCACGAGTAAAAAGAGCAATAGTTTAAAAATGTATAACATGTATTTCATTTGTGTCAACTTCAAAATAGTAATTAATTATTTAAAATAAAAACTAAATAAATCCCGAGAACGAACAGGTTAAATAATTGCAACTAGAAAATGTACCTGCGGATGGAGCCCTTCAGGCAATAATTGCAGTTATACACTTAACTTATTCAAACTACTTAATAAACACAGCCTCTAGAGATTATCCCGAGGTCTTTATAGCAATTAGAAATTTAACCTCATCAGCTATCCTTTCCAATTATGATTTAACCTTGTAAAATTATAAGAGTATATTTAAACTGTTTATGAGAAATTATAGTGTTGTCTACACAAATAAATTCATATTTTTACTAAAGAAATAGCTTTTAAATGCACGCATATAGATATTTTTCATTATTTTTTCTTAATTTTTACTTCTTTCGGCTTAAAATTTAAAAAAAATTCATATTTAAGACCATAGAATATGTGCAACATAAGTGATGTGTCCACATTAATAAATAAATATCCTATCAAAACCAATTACTGAAATAACTTTTATTATTTTTTTAAATTCTTTTTCTTCTTATTATTTTTTAAACTTTAATTTGATATATTCTATAATAATTTTGTTGTATGTTATTTTTTCATATTTAAAATGTAGTAACTGTCACTTTAAATTTGAATTCTCGCAAGATTTGAAAAATAATTACAATTTCTTTCGACTCGATCATTCCAATCAAAAGAAAAGGAAGAGGCATATAAAGAGAAAAATCAAATTGTAATTATTTTTCAATTCGTTTTTTAATATTTATAAATAACTTACATAACCTACTTCGTTACATATTATCAACATTTTGATGAAATTATTTAAATATTCCATTAAACAGATAAAGAGATAATGATTCTAGCATCATGACTTGTTTTAATTGTGTTCACTCTCTTTGTATTGCAGTTACTACCTCTTTCTACTTTTACAATATGAGAATGATGTTATTCATTTCAGCATCTTCTGTGTCTTACTGAATGATACATTCAAGCACGCTTTTCCAAACTAAACCTCCTTCACTAACTGACCTTTGGAGAAATGCTGCCTCGGTAAACGACCCTATTCGAATTTTTATTTACCCATATTTACCCTACTTCTGTTTGCTCTCGATATTCTTCCATTCCTATTTACCTTCCTGCTTCCATTATTTTTATTTATCTTCCTTATTTTCTCTTTATTCTCACATTTCCCTATTTCCATCCTTGCATTTCTTTACTTTACATTTCTAATTTTCATTGCCACTTTCTTTCATTCTCATTTCCATTTTTCTAATTTTCAGTTGCTACTTTCTTTAACTTTTTTATTTTTATTTTTCTAATTTTAATAATTATTTTTCCATTTTATATTATTTTTTTTCAAGATAAGAAATTATAGCAGTTTTTATATAAGTAATTATTTCGTAGTAGAGATAGGCGCAACGTACAGTACATACACAAATTTATGCAAGAATTATATAAGCTCTTTTAACTCGTGTTTTAAAACTATAGATTAATTTAAAACTATTTTTAAAAATGTA